ATTTTGAATATATAATTATATATATATATATATATATATATAATTTTATAGGCGTATCTCCGCCATGTCTGTGTCCCATAGTTGTTAAAGGCTCAAGGCGCACAAAAGCGCAAATGCCTCCTGGAGCCTGAGGCGCAAGGCGAGGCGCAAGGCGAGGCGCGCGCCCGACTGAAGCAAGGCGCACGTTGAAAAAAAAAAAAACAAAACCCACCCAATAAAGTATTAAAGATGCAATAGTATATATAAAGATGTAAAAGTCAACTAAATGAATTACTTAAGTTAAATATTCAACATAAAATGCCAAAACCAAGTAAAGTCCAATTCAAAGTGTCTACTTGCATTAATCTTATTGTGCCCAAAATCATAATGTTACTGCATTTTGCTGTCATTATTACCAAGTAAAGTCCAATTATAAAGATGCCAAAACCAAGTAAAGTCCAATTATAATGTTACTGCATTTTGCTGTCATTATTACCAATTCAAAGTGTCTACTTGCATTAATCTTATTGTGCCCAAAATCATGCAGAAGGTTATGTATGATGGAGAAAGATCAAATTTTGTCTTCACCTTAAAGTCCAACATCTTTCTGATACCCACATGCACAAAATTGTATATACAAAACGCAAACAACGATCTTTTTATTGCCACGTAGTATGAAATAAAGAACAATAGTTATAGTACATAACAAACACAGATAACTGAAAAAAAAAAAAAAAAAAAAAAACCCGACCACCTTAAATAACAACTCCAACTCTACAAACAAACTAAACTCTTTCAAATAAAAAGAAGAGCTGTAGACAGTCTAGAGTCCAGACTCGAGAAAAAAAATAAAATAATAAAATAAAGATAAATAAAAAAATAAAAAGAAGAAAAATAAAATAAAAAATCTGCCAAACTCGACTCGGCCGAGAGAGAGAAGAAAAGAAGAAGAAGAAAAGAAAAAGAAGAAAAGAAGAAATAAAATATCTGCAGAGTCGCAGAAGAGAAGAGAAGAAGCAAATCTGAGAAGAGGACGAGAGAAGAAGGAGAGAAGAAGAAGAGAGAGAAGGAGAAGTTAGAGAACTTACCGGCAGAGTCGCAGACGCAGATCCGACACAAATCCGGCAGATCTGACTTCCGAGACCGAGAGTCCAAGTCGTCGCTGCCTCTGTTGAGTCTGTCTTCTTTCCTTTGCTTTTTGTTCTCTTTTCTTTTTTTTGTTTTTTATGTTGTAACAATGTAACTTGTAGGTTTTCTATTCAATTAACTAATAATATAATATAAATAATGATAATATAACAATACATAAAAAAAATAAACAAACAGAACTAAACCAATAAAAAAAATTGCATTTTGCAAGCAGGCGCGCCTTTGGGACCTGGCGCCTGTTTGGTAAAGGCGCACGCCTTCTTTACTCCCTGCGCCTTAAGTCACTAAAGGCGCTGAGATGGCGCCTAGAGGCGCCTTGCGCCTCAGGCGCGCGCCTTCGGCGCCTTTAACAACTATGCTGTGTCCTATTTTTTTGAAATTTGTCGTGTCGCTGTATCCGTGTCGTGTCGTACCCATGTCCCGTATCCGTATCCGTGCTTCATAGCACACCGTTAATAACTTTTCTTAACCACAAGGCAATGACTTTAGCTATTAGCTTGTACATGCTACTCACCAAACTGACAAGCCTAAAATCCTTGGCTTCTATAACACTACCCTTTTTAAGGATGAGAGCAATGGATTAAGTGTTCATACTCTTCTCAAATTAACCATGCACATGAAAAAAACTAATAGTGTCCATCACTTCTTTCCTAACCACCTCCATATTCTGTTAGAAGAATACCATGGTAAAGCCATTCGGGCACAGGGCCTTATCCCCATTACAATTTTCCAAGGCCATTACCACCTCATCTTCTAAAAATAGTCTTTCCAACTAATCTCTATCTTCTTCTGAAATGCTCTCAAACTTCAAACCATTAAGCAAAGGTCTCCAATGTGAGCTCTCCATATACAACTGTTGATAGAATGAGCAATCCCTCTTCTAATATCCTCCTCCTTACTCAACAAATCACCAGAAGAGCGGAGTGTCGGACTCGGGCTGCATTAGAGAGAAACATAGCTAGGGACGGGAGGAGGGAGACAATAACCAAGCACAATGCATAAAGATAAAACTATAAAATAATAATAAAGTGCATAACGCCATTCACCAATAAAAACAAATGTTAAGCATTTATGATAAAGAAGATATACGAAAATATTTTAATTTCCAGGATTTGCAGAAGAATGCGAGCTAAAATGATTTGCAAATTACATATGTTCTAGGGTTTCCACCTAACTCAAATTACAAGCATAAAAAATAAATTATAATAAAAATGAAATTCATAAAGGCCTCATTCTTTTTGGCATTATTCTGAAAGGGTTTAAGGGAACACATTTTTTAAGTCCAAACTTTCCTCTTCTCAATTCCATAAGCTCCAAAATTGTAAGAGAATAAAGTAAAGGCTGTGAAATGCTTAAAAAATGGCTGCATTTTCTTAACCATTTTCCTTTCTAGCCTCATTCTTTATGAGAGAAGCGTATCTTTCCAATTACCCAAACCCTTTTCTCATTTGTTACATCTTACCCAAACATCAAAGAAAATTTTTAGTTTGATACATCCCCACTCAAAGCTTTTTTTTAAACTTGGTACCACTCCTTGAATAGATGTTGTACATGAAGGTATCTTCAATTAATTAACATTTCCACTTTATTTCAATGACACATACAGCAGAAAGAATATTTAAAATATTAATTTTCAATTCTTATTGTGTTGGGTAATGCCACGTTCTTCTAAGGAATTGATTCATGCTTGGAGAGGATGTTGTGTGAGTAGGGGTGTACACGATTATTGGAGAACTATCCCACATTGCGTCTGGTAGTGCAACTGGAAGGAGATAAATAGTAGAATGTTCAAAGGGAATGAGTCGTCTACAGTGACGCTGAAACTTGTTTTTATTCGTTCTCTCTTTAGTTATGTGAAGAGGAGTTCTTGCTCCTCTTCTGATGATTTAATTAATTTTTTGGATTCTTTGGGGCCTTAGCCCCCGGTTCCACTAATGTTAAAGGGACGCATTCCCCTTTTGAATGCCTTTTTTAATTCATTATTACTTATCAAAAAAAAAATTATACTAGTTTCAGCTGGCTGTTAGTTGTAGCGCGCATTTGACTAATAACATAGTAACTCGTAGAGAAAAAAGATTGTTTTGCACTCGTCTTTGCTTGAGTAGTTCATTTATCCATTCAAAATTTCCTACAACTTACCATAGGTTTCTGCCAGACTCTTCCAACCAACTATGTTGAATAACTAATATTCATGTTTCTGTTTTTGATAATATGTATATATATGAAAGGACTTATTATAATGCATATACATATATACTATGCATGTTGTGTGCATGTGTTTTCGTGTCATCATTATGAGATCTGATATAGCATTTCAGCATCTGAATCAACTTAGTCACTGTCTCATTATTGGTGCTACCTCTACATTCCTAATATCGTATTTATTCCTCGCTCTATATTTTGTCTTAACTAGGGGAGCCAATATTTGGCACGATATGCTAACATGACTTGAACACAACATGGGATTAGTGGGTTTGAATTTGGCTTATAATCATGTCAACCCCAATAAACACGATAATTAAGCTATGCTGTGTGAGTGCTTGACCTGCCTAACCCGTTTATAACTCGATTACACCCCAATAACTAAACATGTCAAATGAACGTGTCGAGCTCGTGTCTGAAACAATCCTAATAGTATGGAATTTCAATTAAATGTGTCTTGTCATGTCATGTTAGGTCTTGACTGATTATTTTAAACAAATTACACAGGTCATGTTGTATTACCTGTTTAATAGTGTCAACCAATATAGCCATTGTATAATTTCCGCAAGCAAGGCAGTACCATTGTTAACTGGTGTTGCCTATGTAAAACAGAAGGAGAGTGCGTGGACCACATTCTTATGCATTGTCCTGTGGCGTCTGATTATTGGAATCTCATTTTTAGTATATTTGGCGTTCAGTGGGTACTGCCTAAGCACTATATCCAATTTATTAACGCTTGGAGAAGATGCCCTGTTACTAGTCATGCTCGTGATTTTTGGAGGATCGTCCCACACTGTTTCTAGTGGTGCAATTGGAGAGAGAGAAATAACAGAAATTTTGAAGGAAAGGAATCGTCTCTTGCAAAATTAAAATCTCATATCCTTCGTTCTCTTTTCTGTTATGTAAGAGGCAGCGCTTGCTCCTCGATTGATGATTTATTTGATCTATTGGACTCTGTTGGTCCTTAGGTCTTTCGTTTTTGTGTATTAGGGACGCGTTCCCCTTTTGAACACTTTTCTAATATATTTTTACTTATCAAAAAAAAAATAGTGTCAACAAATATAGCAATATACCTATGTCATAATTCGACATGAATACATTGCAGAAACATGAATTGCCACCCTTGGTCTTACCCCAAATCCTACATTCATTCCAACATCCTCATTTCAACTACTCCTTCTACATGAACTCTTGTTTCTTGTTTACAATTACACCAGATTCACCAAAAGGTTGTAGCCTTAGTGGTATTTACTCTACGTCCCCAAAAGTACAGTGAAGGTTCGAGCCCTAGTAGGGGGCAAATGGGTGCGTGAGTTTCTTGCCAATGGAAAAAATATATAATAACAACTTACACCATATTCTTCCATTTACCTTTTAATTTAATGTGCATGCATTGGTAGAATAAAATTTATAAATCCAAGAAGAATAATAGGATTGTGTTCTAACTGTTTTTCAAATATAATTTCACTCACAACTACAAAAGATCCCTAAGGACAGAGAAGAATAATCTCTGCAAGTTTTCCCTTTCCATAGGTTTATTATCTCAGATGAGAGCCCAATACACCACATGTACAGATCAAAACACTAAAGGTAGTGAAAAACCAACTATAAACCATACATTTGACATTTCTTCAAAGAAAAATGAGCATAAGAAGGTTGTCAATCCTTACCACTTCTCCCATTTCTGTGAACGGCCTATCATCAACTTGTTCAAGTTCCTGCACTATTCCATAATGTTGATAATCTTCAGTGCATATATATCAGGCTAAAAACTACATAATCAACAACAACAACGTTATTAAATAACATGACACCAGAAGCAACCTGTTCGGAGTTCCCAAATTAAAGATAACCGTCACTGAACATCATTGATGTACAATTCATATCAACGCATATATGCGCACACAAATATATAGACATACATACATATAAAGAGAGAGAACTATAAAACATCCTCTTCTCACTGCAAAAATTAAGAAATGAAAAGGAATAGTTCTTGTAGTACCAGTTTCAATTAGGGCTATTTGAATTTGAGAGCTTAGAATGATTGATCCAAAGCTTAGAGTTACTGATCCAAGCCTTAGTTGCAGAAAAGTGAGCGTAGAATGAGTCCAGTAGATGCTAGAGCCCTAACCCCAATTTTGTTATTTCGGGAGTTTGAATTTGGGTTTATTCTCTCTCTCTCTCTTAATTTATTCCTATTTTTGGGCTTCACTTTGGTATCTTATTAGTATTTTTTTTTCCTTTTTTTTTTTTTTTTAAGTTTGAAATCTTATTGCATAATGTCTCCAATAAACTTTGGAGTCTTAAGTATCTATCTATTTAATATCTAACATTTTTTTCTTAAAAATATATATATATATAAAAAAAAATTCCATTTTACCAAAATTTAAAATTTGGTCACACGATAGTGCCTTCGGAAGGGTCATGCACTTATGCTAGTACTGAGTATATTTAAAATTGTAGATTTATTTTTTACAAAATTTTAAAATTTACACAATGCAGTTTGACTATGGCCTTCCAGGCCATTATTTGATGGAATGATATAAATTTTAAAAAATTTGAAGACCCTCACAAGTAAAAGTTGGATTAGTTGATTTTGTATGTATTACCATTTTTACCCATATTATAACCAAAAAAATAGGGTAAGTGCAAAAAAATTATGAACTATATCCGAATTTGTAAAGAACCCCTTGAACTATATTTTGTGCATAATACCCCCAAACTATCTCATTCAGTTGCAAAATGCCCCAATGCCAAGACTTTTTTTATTACATGACCATAATACCATTTCTTTTTTAATTACACTTAATTTATTTTTCTTATTGAAATAAATTATGAAAAAAGAACTAATACTATATTGATGACATATTCTCCATTAAATTTGCATAAATTTATCTCTATTTTTTATATTAATTTTTTAAATAAAAATCTTCAGTAGAAAATTTTAAAACAATTTAAGTAATTTTTATTTTTTTTTCATAAATATATTGCATGAAAATGAAGGTATTTTTTATTTAAATAGTTTCTTAATTTTTCATGAATATATTGTATGAAAAAAAAAAAGGTATTTTTTATGATTAAAAAAAAAAAGTTTAAACTGAGTATAAGAAATTTTATTATAAATCGTATATTTTAATTATAAGTTAATCATATTAGAAAATATGATTACAAATCTATTTAATTTTTTCCATTTTTATGATAAATTGATACTAATAATAAAATTAAGGTAAATATTATAATTAATATTTAAATAAAAGAAAATATAATAAAAATAATTTAATAAGAAATGACAAATTTAATAAGAAAGGGTAAAATAGTCTTTTGTGATGATTTTGTCCTTAACTGCAACAAATCAATAGTTCAAGGGGGTAATTTTTAGTTCAATGGGGTTATTTGTAAAAGGGCAATAGTATATGGTTTATGCACTTTATCCTAAAAATAATTCAAATTGACTCTCACCTTCTCTCTTCCCACGAATCACATTCTTCCTCTTTCCCTCCATCTCATCGACCTTCATCATCTATGTGTTCATCCTCACTCAAAGTCCACCTTTTTGCCACTAGCGTTCCAATACAATAAGATGTGTGGGGACAATTTTGCAAAGGCAATTCACTCCAAGGTAGAGGAGTATCTCAAGAATTAATAAGTCAAGGCTCAAATCTCAAAAAATATTTTCTAAAAGCCCATTAGACGAAAACAAATTATCTTTATGAAGGAATTGTTGAATGAACTCGGATCCTCTCACATGTCATTTTATCATTTTGCAACAACTTACATCACTTATATAACTTCACATCATAGAACAAGTACATCATTTATGCACATCTACGTTATTTCACTTATGCAACAACTATTGGAATATATTTTGATAATATTTTTTAATATATATATATATATATATATATATATATATATATATATATATATTAAAGTCTAATTATTTTGATTCATATTCCCAATGAGCGATAAAGTTTTAAATGTGACCTTGGCATGATTTGGGAGTTGAAAGTTAAACCTAAAATTAAACACTTCCTTTGAAGACCTAGCTTGGTTCAAAGTTATGTGGCAACATCTTTATATCATAAAGGAATTGCTCAAGAATTCTTGTGTTAATTTTGTTATAATTTTGAATATATAATTAGGCATTTGATTTTACATTGTGATAGGGTGGTGAAGATTTGGAAGCTTTCGCCTTTACTTTGGAGACGTATACAACTTAGTGTGCCTCTTGCTCTGATTAATGGGATGTTCTATGCTTTAAATGGAAAGTTATTGATCAGCTAGAGAATTTGATAAGAGCACTGCTATTTCACCCGACTTAAAAAAACCTACTTAGTACTAACTCCTTCTTAATGTCCAAGTGTCATGTTATAATTAGTGGAGCCGTTTATAGAAACAAACACGCCTCTTTCCTCTTCGCCCATGCCCCCAAGTCTTCTCATTCCCTATCTCTATGTATACAAATGTTTACATATATATATATATATATATATATATATATATATATATATATATATATTCATATGTATTCCCTCTCTAAACACTCTCTATTTTCATCTTTTTCCAGATGAGTTATGGAGACCTGATTAACCAATGAACCCCAGTTCTTCAATTCTAAATTATTGTTCTTGGTATCTAAAAAAATAAAAAAAAATTCAGATGACGAAAAAGAGAAACGAAATAGATATGCAAACCCTTTTTTTTTGCTTCCTCTTTTTGTTTCTTGGGGTGAAAACTATAGTTGAAGATAATAGCAAAAGACAAAAATTTCATTCCCTGCAACAAAGCCTTTTAATGGAAAACATATTTTATAAAGAGAAGGAATTTTAAGAAAAAATACGTACATATGAGTAACTTGTACACAGAGAAAAGAAATAATAGAAAAAGAAAAGGAAATCAAAAGGAAAGGGTAATTTTGTCTAAAAAAAATGTATTGCATTTAATATGCCATATGAGACTTGGTATTGCGATTAGTGTATTGCCACGTGAAAGTCGATTTTTATCAGTAAGGAAAAGTCGTCAAAAATATAATTTTCCATTTGATAATGATGGCTAATATTAATTGTATGGTACAGATGGAACTCTCGAAATGATTGGATTTTTAAGAAGAACAGGGGGACTGAATTAAATGCAGTGAATCACACTATATATTAATATCAGAGTATTTAGATATAAATTATGGGAGGTGTATAGTGCCATAGAATTCAGAGATAATGTATTGGATAAAATTAGTCAATTTCTTAAGAAGTTCTCTCATATTCAAATGTTGTATACACCAAGGGAAATCGATGAAGTAGTTCATTTGATTGTGTTGCATGCTCTCAAATGCACTTTAAAATTTGATGATTGTGTACCTTTTTGGTTGAATTGAACAGTGGTGAGTGGGTTATAATTTATAATGATTATATGCCTCTTTGGTTGGTTCATATGTCAATAAATGAGATGTTCTTACATTCATTTACACCTCACATTTGGTATATTCTCAATCTGCTTTTTTCCTAAACTCTCAACTGTTCGGTATATGAAAAAAGTCCGGATAAGAGGTAAGGAACACCTAATTTTAGGTTGGACCATTCGAAATTCATTTATCAAATTTATAAAATATATTTTAATTAGTTTTGTATATGAATGAATTTATGAAAATTCATTATGGAACTCGAATTTTCTTAATTTATGTATTTTGATGACTGAACACATTTATGAGACTCGTCTTGAGATATTTATATAAGGATTACACTTTCCTCACTCAAACATGTATCAAGTTCAATCCTAATGCATAATCAAATTTTTTGAACTTAAACTTTAAAAGTTTCTCTCTTATAATTTTCATATTTGTTCTGCCTTCTGAAAAGAGAAGTGTTGCACACAATAGTGTATCGTGTAAATATATTATGGTTAGGTCAAGTCAAGGCTTGGTTGAATTCCAAATATGGAGTTGGCATAATCCCTTAGACCTTGTGGGAGGGTTCGACTATCTTCAAAAAGCGATTATGCACATCCAATCTATAGTCCTGGTTTCTTAAAAGTTATATTTTTGCTATAATTGAGATAAGTCTTTCTCATATACGGCTTACTAGTATTGCTTGGAATTGTCTTACCACAATTAACTTGAGTTGTTGAATAAATGGTGTATAATCTATATATATGGTTGCAAATGTTGAATTCGTTATAATATATTGGAGTATAAAACATTATTATAATGTTTAAACTAGTGGGGTTTGAACAACATGGAAGAAGTAACTTCTCCCATCTCTCATGCAAGGTGAGTAAAAGTCTTTTTACAACCATTTTGACTCATGGTAAACTTGTTCTCCACAATGCTCTATGTATTCCTAAAGAAAGATCTACCATAAAATTTATCATCCTTTGAAATCTTGCATTTCATTATGAATAAGTATTATCAAGGTCAACGATCTACAAAGATGAGGGGCTTTATTGGAAAGTAAGCCTAAATGGAACCTTTCTTCCATGCCCTTATCTGAATAAAGATCAATTGAATTGAGAGAAGAAAGGTGGAATCTACATCACTCAATCTTATTACCTTGAGAAGATTATTAAGAAATTCAATCAGATTGAGAATAAATCAATAGCCGCTCTACATGATTCTAGAATAAAAGGTTAAAAACTACAAGGGTTGCAGTGCAACTCAATTTGAGTATTCTCAAATTATTTTCAATCTTCTGAACTGTATTAGGCCGAACATAGACTTTGCATTTGGAAAGTTCAGCACATACCTTGGTAACCTAAGAATGAAGCATAGATGCTTGAATTGAGTCCTAAGATACTTCAGAGTTACAATACATTATGGGAAGTATTTTTATATGCTTAAAATGATGCATGATGCAACTTGGACTTGGATTTGGACAAGTTAAAGTTAATTCTTCTCGGAGTTTTGCCTAAGATGTGGTGTGTTCTCCTTGAAGTATGAGAAAGAAACACGTATTTATTTATTTATTTATGAAATTTGAATCAATTAATGATCTCAAATAGGTCGAGGGGAATGGAACTAAACCTAAAACTAAACCGTACTCGGTGATACCGAACTTGATGAGTTTTTCATGTTCATAGAAAAACGAACCAAGATCACAGTTGTCGCTAGTACACTATATTATGAAATTTGATAATCTTCATATAGTGTAAGTAGTGTAATGTCTTGTAGTAATTAGAGGTTGAAATTTGATCTCTTAAT